GCATGAACTTCAGGCGCCCTAAGAAAGCAGGCACCTGTGTAAGCTGATTTCCTGACCTTGTGTCTCATCTTGCGGGTTGTGAACCTATCATCATGATTTGCACATAGATTTTTCAATACATGTTTGATGTCAGGGTACAGTCACCAAAGTTTCAATCCAACGTTTTCTGCCTGGAGCCAGCTATTTAGTATCTTTATTATTAGTGATCTTGGAGGTGCCTGGTGGTACTCCAGTTGAGCTAAATATTGTATCTAGTTATGTAATAGATAACATCTAGAGAACCTAAGGGGATTCGAGAAAGGAGTGTAGGTGGGAAAATCTCCCACCTACACTCTCCCTCATAAATTACAGCTTTGGAAGAATCCCATTATTAATACAAATGCTCTTAAGTGTCAGGAAGTATTTAAACTGAGAAAAGTTTCGTATTCTTGCTCTTTGGAGAAATTGGAACAGGAAGGGTGAGAGGTAATTCTTTATATAGCCAAGTAGCTGTCGTGTCTGATTTCAGAAAGTCAATATTTCAGGTGTTACAGACCCTGTGGTCTCTGTCTAACTACTCTTCTGTTCTAACCCTAAAGCAGCCATAGACAAGGCATGAATGAGTAGGTGGGACTGTTTTCCAATAAAACTTTATTTATGAGAGGGGAGGGGCAATATAGGGGTAGGGGATTAAGAGGTACAAACCATTATGTATAAAATAAGCTACAAGGATATACTGTACATCACAGAGAATATAGCCAATATTTTATAATAACTATAAATGGAGCATAACCTTTAAAAATTGTGAATCACTGTATTGTACACCTGTAACATAATACTGTACATCAACTATTCTTTAATAAAAAAATTTTTAAAAAACTTTATTTATGGACAATTAAATTGGAATTTCGTAAAACTTCACATAGCACAGAATATCATTCTTTTGATTTTTTAGAACCACTTTGCTCACAGGTCCTACAAAAACAGATGGTAGGCTGGCTTTGGCCCAGAGGCGATGGTTTGCACACCCCTGTTCTAGGGCCAAAACTAAAATAAATAGATGAACCTACTCACAACAAATTGTCCAGTTGTCCTAAGTCTTTTTGGCCATTCAAATCATCAGGTTGTTTTGGCAGTTAGCAGTGGCCTCAAATTAGGGGGAGAGAGGAGCTGTTCAGGAGTTTAATTCCTTCACAACCTTCTCACCTAGTGATGTGTTAGGAAGGAAGCAAGGCTCAGTCTCAATGGACCACAGGTTTCATGGGCGCTGGTCCTGTGTGTTTGGGGACATCGTCGTGGTCTTTTCCTAGGAACTCTAACAAGAGCTTTGCACCAAAGAGTTACTCTTCCTATAGCACGATTCTTCAACATTCTGACGATCTTCCCATCTGTTCATTTTCTCTCTCCATCTTTTTTATCTCTGTCTCTCTGTCTCTTTCATTATATCTCTGCCAGGGACCCGTACAGAGGAGGAGACATGAGTTGACTTCTTAAGGACACTTTAGTTCAATTAAAAAAATCTAACACTGCTTTGAGTTAATAGGGCAGCCTCTTACATATATTTCCATGACTATATATACACACACACAAGAAATAAATTTGGTTTAAATTTGTCCCACTAAGAAGTATCTTTCTTTTTTTATTGATCACTTGACATAAAATACTGATTTTCTTGGAGTGATTAGAGATTATCAGACCTCCAATCCAATCTAATTTCATGAATGTAGATCCACAGGGTTTCTTCCACAAGTATCCTAAATACAACTATTTCCCTCAGGTCATAAAATGTTTATTTTCTTTTGGTCAGTTTTTCACCAGAAGTCCCATGCATTTTGTTGTAAACTCAGTTGTAATGATTCAGAAGTAGAATGCAGTCCTGATGTACTAAATCTTGAGAAATGGACATTTCATTTGTGCATAATATAGTAGGAAACGGAGTAGGGGGAAATAGGAAACGGAGTAGGGGGATCTAAGAAAATGGTTTATAACAGGTCAGGGAAAGGAACATTCTGTAAAGTTGTTAATATTAAATATCCATTTAATCTGGAAAAAGAGTGTTGTTCTTATCAGTTAGCCTTGGTATTTTAGAAAAAGAAAATTAGTGATTTGTGGACCATTTGCTTTTGATAAAGCCATACTTATTCCTTCCCAGTGTTTTCAACTCTAGAACTACTTTTCTGAATGGGATGTATCAGAATCACATGTGGGAAATTTTCAAAATTCACATTGTTCTATCCCATCTCTTTTTGGCATGGTCAATACCTTCAAATAGGAACTCATCAGGAGCGCACCTGTGGTTGAGCAAGTTGAGTTACCACTCGATGCAGCAAGTGAGGATACACCATGGAGACCCAAAGCGTTTCTCAATAAGAGGGACTTCAACAGAATCTTCTGTAGGATTTGGATTTGGGTGGGTGATGTTGGGAAGAGTTCCAAGAAGCAGGGCCTCACCGTAGATCAGAGGCTGTCAGAAAGCAGAGGTAATTCTATAATAAGGTATCTCAATAAATGTGACCAGCAAGGAGGGAGACTAGGATGAAGATCAATCTATAAAAGGTAAAGAAGTACAGAGGCTCATTTTGCCTGAGAGAGAGCTGTTTAGTACTTTGGGGATGGCACAATCACCTTGTTTCTGTCTGTGCTGAGACAATTTGTTTTAAATTAATTAATTAATTAATTAATTATTTTTGGCTGCATTGGGTCTTCCTGGCTGCACGCAGGCTTTCTCCAGTTGCGGCGAGCGGGGGCTACTCCTTGCGGTGTGCGGGCTTCCCACTGCGGTGGCCTCCCTTAACTGTGAAGCATAGGCTCTAGGTGTACGGGCTTCAGTAGTTGTGGCACACGGGCTCAGCAGCTGCGGCTTGCGGGCTGTAGAGTGCAGGCTCAGTAGTCGTGGCGCACAGGCTTGGTTGATTCGCGGCATGTGGGATCCTCCTGGACCAGGGCTCGAACCCCTGTCCCCTGCATTAGCAGGCGGGTTCCTAACCACTGTGCCACCAGGGAAGTCCCTGAGATAAAATTTTGACGTGGCCTTGCTTTGTCTCATTTCATCCTTGTCTCAGGGTAATCTTGTCTGAGGTGGGTGTTCTGTGAGATTGTTTAGGTGTAATAGTTACAGTGACCTGGCTGTGGGTACCGGGCAGGCTGGCTTCCGAATGTTAAGGGCAGCATGTTTTTTCTTTCTGAATATCTACCCCCTGCCCTCCTTTCTGTCACCACTATGGTGGCCATTACTTTCTAATGACATATTTCCAAGTGTTTATTACAAAATATTTTAAATGTATAGAAGAGTAATGATAGTAATATAATAAACATCGTGTAAATATCTAGCAACTTATGAAATAAAAGATTATAGATAAAAGTATTTGAGCATTTCTCTCAAATCCTAATTCCTCCTGGGAGGAAACTGTTATCTTGAATTTGATGCTTATCATTCTCAAGTACAATGCATTTTCCTTTCCTTTTAAAAAAAATATACCTAAGATATTTTATGGTCTCCTTCCCTTCCAGGAATTATATAAGATCTAACTTTAATACAGACCCATGATTCTTTTTTATGCTGGGGTTGTTTTAAGTAGGCACTAAAGCATCCAACTGTATGAGACAGACACCCTATACTTCAAACAGGGTCACGGGGACATAATAATTTTATATAAGTACTGTTAAACATTATAAATGAATAGTAATCATCGCATCAAGTACTCGTTCATTTGGTTTTTCCATGCCCTACAGTGCTTTTAATCACAGGGACAGTTTGTTGGTTTTATTTAGCAAGATGTTGGGTGGATTTTCCTTCTTCCTTCTGCTGGCTCCGTTAAACATTTTTGACACTGACGGAGCTGAATCAATTGGAAATTCACATTCTATGCAATAACAGACCATTTTAATTTCATGAAGCAAGGGCTTGGCTTCCACTTGCAAATAGCACCGAAGAAAGCAATATTGTCAAAAGAAGTGGCCCAGTATATCGAGAGATAAATCTATTGAATTAAACCCAAGACTTTCATTACCTTTTGCTTTACATTTCCATACAACATAAGCATTAATTAAACCCATCAGTGCCTTCCTCCTTGCAGGAGAACATTTTCTCTCTGACAAGAAATGTTAACCGAGGGAACACGTGGCACAGGAGACCAGCCATTAAAATCACACTTGGCTTTCACTGGGAGGAAAGCTGATGCATTCTGACGGTCGGATGAGCAGAAACAGAACACAGCGAATGATTGCCATCTTTTCCTGGCCCTGCTGTCTATGGTGGTGGGGCTGAATGTCTCTTGCCTCACTTCAGGTTTCCAAAGATAAGCACATTTATAACTGTATTGCATCTCTTGTCACCCGGTGTTTCCAAAGATAAGCACATTTATAACTGTATTGCATCTCTTGTCACCCGGCGTTACTTGGTACATTTCAAATGAAAGCAGGAAAATCGTCGTGGTCTTCTGGGGTCTTTAATGTACCTTCACTTACATGACAGGGGCTGGAACTAAATGTCAGGTCTCTTAGTCCCTTTGGGCTGCTACAACAGAAATACCATAAACTGGGTGGCTTATAAACAGCAAACATTTACTTCTCACAGTTCTGGAGGCTGGGAAGTTTAAGATCATGTCACTGGTAGATGCAGTGTCTGGTGAGGGTCTGCTCCGTGTTTCACAGACCCCATCTTTTGGCTGTATCCCTAAGTGGCAGAAGGGACAAACTACCTCTCTGGGGTCTCTTCTAGAAGGGCTCCAATCCCATTCATGATCTACTCACCACCCAAAGGCCCCATCTAATACCATCACCTTAGGGGTAAGGATTCTACATATGAATTTTGGGGGGTCATAGACATTCAAACCATGGGGTGGGTTCAACTTCAGTCTGGAGTATTTGGAAGGTTAGATACCCTGAGGCCCAAATAAAAGTTCATGGGGAGGGCTGGGGGGCTGGTGGAACAAGGACCCCAGGATTTGAGGGAGATGTCAGAGAAGCAAACTCCCTGAACCCCTTATCGTTCCATGCTGACGTTTACGTACTCCTTGCAGGGGAACACTTAAGAATCTGTCCTCAGGAGTACACGTGCTGCACCACGGAAATGGAAGACAAGCTAAGCCAGCAAAGCAAACTGGAGTTTGAAAACCTGGTGGAGGAGACGAGTCACTTTGTGCGCACCACTTTCGTGTCCAGGCACAAGAAATTTGACGGTAGGTGACAGTTTTTATTTCTCGTTGTTCTGGGTGCGCTTTTCGATGCGAGATTCTTGATATTATATGGAAAACATTTTCTTTAAGCGGAAGCTTTTCTCTCCTTCTTAAACATTTATAACTGTGTCTATTTTTAGAAAAGGCATGAGCGCTCTTGACAATTTTTATGTCTTGGAAAAAACCTGAATTTACAAAGAGCTGTTTGGCATTTGTGGTTCGCCTGTGAGATTTATTCTGAATGATTTGGCTTACGTTCTCATTATTAGAGTGATTCTAAGTCAGGTGTTGTCACACTATAGCTTGTCTTCAGTTTCCATCTAGGGATTTGTTTGAAGTCATTAAATGTCATTTAAAATTATCTGAAATAGAACATCACTTTTAAGAGGACAGGCTTGTTTTAAAGTGCCCAGTGACATAGACTCCTTTATTTTAGAGTTTCCCCTTTCTATAGTATAACTACATTTTATATTGTACTTGCAATGCATCCAGCAGAAGGTTTAGACCCTTCATTTATTTATTTATTTATTTATTTATTTATTTTTCTTGCGTTATGCGGGCCTCTCACTGTCGAGGCCTCTCCCATTTGCGGAGCACAGGCTCCGGACGCGCAGGCCCAGCGGCCATGGCTCACGGGCCCCTCTCCTTCTTAAACATTTATAACTGTGTCTATTTTTAGAAAAGGCATGAGCGCTCTTGACAATTTTTATGTCTTGGAAAAAACCTGAATTTACAAAGAGCTGTTTGGCATTTGTGGTTCGCCTGTGAGATTTATTCTGAATGATTTGGCTTACGTTCTCATTATTAGAGTGATTCTAAGTCAGGTGTTGTCACACTATAGCTTGTCTTCAGTTTCCATCTAGGGATTTGTTTGAAGTCATTAAATGTCATTTAAAATTATCTGAAATAGAACATCACTTTTAAGAGGACAGGCTTGTTTTAAAGTGCCCAGTGACATAGACTCCTTTATTTTAGAGTTTCCCCTTTCTATAGTATAACTACATTTTATATTGTACTTGCAATGCATCCAGCAGAAGGTTTAGACCCTTCATTTATTTATTTATTTATTTATTTATTTATTTTTCTTGCGTTATGCGGGCCTCTCACTGTCGAGGCCTCTCCCATTTGCGGAGCACAGGCTCCGGACGCGCAGGCCCAGCGGCCATGGCTCACGGGCCCAGCCGCTCCGCGGCATGTGGGATCCTCCCGAAACGGGGCACGAACCCGCGTCTCCTGCATCGGCAGGCGGACTCTCAAGCACTGCGCCACCAGGGAAGCCCCATTTATTTCTTGATAATAAGCAGTCGACTGCATTTCTGTATTCTATTTGTTAAATACACATTTTGTATTAGAAAGCACAAAGGGCGAAAGTAATTATTACTAGGTTTTCAGCATTGAATTTTCCTGTCAGAGCCTCAGAAAGACATTCAAAAGCAATCTGACTTTTATCAACTGAATGAACAATAAAAATGATAAAGATAATATTCTTAGGTGGTGAAAGTTGTCAGTGCTCTGTGAAATGAATGCACCTTACTATGGCTCGTTGTAAACCAGACTTGCAAATTGTAGGGACGCTTCTTTGTGCGCCTTTGGTTTTAGGAAGTTGCCCGAGGGCAACAGAACCTTCATTCATTTCCTCCAGCCTTTCCAATCAATGCACAACAAAGCCAGTTCAGAAAAACCTTGCCAAAGTTCGTCTTTTTTTTCTTGGGTTTTTTTTTTTTTTTTTAAAATACTCTCTGTAGTAGGCAAAATGTTCTGTTTCATTGCTGTTTTAAACTGGCCCCAACAATTTCTTTAAATCAGTGCTCCAGGTTCTAAAAGGCTGGTCCACCTGGTGGTGTTTCAGTACTCAAGATAATGTGACATTTTCTGTGTAAGTAAAGGGACTTATATTTTTGCAAGTATGTTTCAGCATCTTCACATTCTTCCTCTGTCTCTCGCTCTGTGTTCAACTGTATATGTGGATGTATATGAAAATAACTTTATTTAGAAGTGATGCTGCAAATGTTGTTCCCTTGAATGCAACTAGGAGTACTTGGGAGTTGGCCTTGATTGACAGATTACAAATCCAGTGACCTTCAGGAGCCCCTGAAGGGGCTCCTGTGTTTGAGGAACTATAACGCATCAGTTCAAACTGAGGCAAATTGAAAGGTCTTATTCTTTGTTACAGAAAGCAGGTGAGGGTGATCTGCTGCTTCTGACTTCTACCTACTTCTTTAGAAAACAACTCTTAGGGCTTTTATAAAGCTGTGCTCCAAAATTAAGTAGGAATAATTCCAGAGCAGTATTCACGGTACATAATATATATTCCTTTAAATAAAAATATTAGACTTAAGGTAGATTTATGGGGAGTTGATTTTGTATTTTTTAATGAGTAAAGCTATTCAACAAGACTGAGCCAGGTACTTCCTGTATTCTCCTATCAATGACTTTCAATATTTTTGAATTTATAATTGGTAACCCCAGATCTCATTACTCTTACTAGAGAAACCACTCTCTCTTTGTGTGTGTGTGTGTGTGTGTCTCTCTCTCTGTCTCTCTCTCCCTCTCTCTCTGTCTCTCTCTCTCTGTCTTTCTCTCTCTGTACAGGTACGTTTTAAATTTTTCTAATGTACTTAGGGGTATTATGTCAATTGGTTTGACAAGACATTGATTTTGCTAAGATTCAGTCTGACGTAGAGGGTGATGAATTCTCTAACAACAGTGCATTTCATTGTAGTTGCATTAGGCTGGGATGGGAGAGAAGATTTTTTTCAAGGAAGCTTTCAGCTAAAATCTAAATGTGATCCTGGTGAGCTCAGCTTCTGAAGAGCTATCTTTAAAAAATTATAAAAATATGTAAATTAAAAAGTCACCATTATAATTTCTGATCCTTCATTAGGCAATTTCATGAAGGTCAGCCATGCAATTGTATGATTTATCTTCTTATCCCACAAAGGTGATCCTGCTAAGTCACCTTTCGGGAACGCTGGTGCATTCATGAGGGCAGTTTTCCATTTGTCCCCTTACCTTTCTTTAACCACTTCCTCGTGGCATTTATTGATGACTGTCAGTTGGTGTGCAGAGGAGCCCTGTCTGGGATCAGCTGTGGAACGTTATCCTCTGAGTTTTATTTTCCCAGATGAGACCAATGGTGCTTTGAGAGACTTCAGGTTTACTTTTAGTGGCTTCCTATTCTGTGGGTCATTTTGCATTATTGCTGGGATCTCTTGATTCCAACGTGTTCATTTTGCATTTCTGCCTCTGGTCCCACTTTCTCAGAGATCTTGATTTCTCATCTGGATTTTACAGGTCTTTGTTGGCTATGTGTTCTTTATTATATGAAAGATGACTGTATCATATGAGAAGGTGACCACTTTCCTTCCTATTTTCAGTAAGTACAGCAACTAATTAAGTTGCACCTAATATATGTGATTCAGTCCATACTCTATTCAGAGAGGCTAGATTCTATCACTGTTAATCATTAGTCTATAGTCCTGGCATTCCTTATTATACTAGAAATGTTTTGTTTTGATTCCATTTAGCTTGGCATTTTGGGGCAGAGGTGACTTTTAAAATTTGAAAGTCAAAAACATGTAACAGAACATAAGATTATATTTATTGTCATATTCTTTCCCATTTTCTATGAATATCTTTAGTAATATTTAGAAGATACTGTATAAATTTATAAATATTCATTGCATGGTCACAAGCTAAACCTGAATGAATATGAATTTTCCCCAACTTTCTTAAATGGCCCAGCTTTGTTCCATACCCCCATTAGCCGAAATGTGTGGCTGAGAGGCAATAAATAGAAAAAAAGGGTAGCTGAGAGGCAGTGAATTGAAAAACTATATAATATCAATTGCAGAAATTTCCACTCTTTGGCAGAGAATTTCCTTATAACTGAGTAGCTTTTTTTCTTTTTAAACATAGAGTTGAAATATGATGAATATATATAATATATATATATATATATATATATATTGGCAATATATATATATATTGGCACTGGTACTTTTCCAAGTGTCTTACAAGGTTTTTATTTGTTTGTTTGTTCTCCCTTTTCTGGCCAAATCTCCACCTCTGGCTGCCGTTACACATCCCTGCAAGCCCCTCACCTGTTGGCCAGGGCCTGGCCACCACAAATGTTCCTTCAGAATACACAGGGATGCTCTCAATTTGCTCTGTAACCAAGCCCAGGTTTTCTAACACACCCAGTGGTTAAAATTATGGATGAAGACCCAGCCAGGTACACCTGGAAGAATGATCACCACTCTGTTGCCTTACTTCTTGCCTTTCACCTCTGCCAAGTACCCCAGACAGCCAGAAGTACATAAACAAATAAACGAATCATATAAAAATACAGAAAAAGTGGCGTCTTTGTGTATCCACTCATTTTCCTAGCATTTTTGTGTTTAGTAACTGTCTGACCTGTCCTGTTGGTATTTGTATCTAAATCCTAATGGCTGTCATGCTTCTAAGTGGCTAATTTGTTAGGATCCTAGGAAAATGGAGAACAATCCAATACTCTGATAATATTAATGGTAATAATAGGCAACATCTGGCCATGTTCCTTGCCCATTACAGATGTTAACCTATTTAACAGAAGTGAATTGCAGGGCAAAGCCACACAGACACTCAATGGCAGAGTCAGCAACCTGTCGCAGGCTGAGCACTCCTGGATCCTTGCTCTTAGCTGTAACTACCCCATAATCTCTCTCGTGCTTTCCAGCCCCCAAATGTGCTGAGATTTCACCATCAGCCACATCTTTTCCTCTATCTCCCGCTGCCGGTTCTGTCCCTTTAATTGTGGGGAGGAGGTGGAAATGTCTTACAGAAAAAAGTGGAAAGAGATTTTTTTTTTTATCCTTAAAAAAAGAAAATTACCCATCTAAATATAGTCCAGCCCTCAAGGAACCTGGAGCCTGGAGAGAGTAAATGACTTGCCAAGTTTCCACCAAGAAAGATGAAACCAAGACTGTAACTTGATGCTTTTGACTTACATCAGATTTATAAAG